ACAAACTATAGCATCTATCCATAAACTCAATATGTAAAGGCTAGCGTAAAATGCTAACATTCTTGGAAAACAAATCATCTTTCGTTGTTAAATTATTAAGATTTAAACATATTTTATTGAAACAAAATCAATGGAATTGGACAAAAGTTATTCCAACTTGATTTGTCCTCTCCAATACAAACAGATTGACAAAAACTTATACACGTGATGTACAACCAACAAATTTACAATGCAAAAAAAAAAAAAAAGAAAAAGGTGCAGAAAAATAAGAAAGGAAGGGAATGGCAGTGCAAGGAGACAAAAGAAAGAAGGAAGGGGATATAAAAGATACAAAATGGTTACGCTGGTTATTCATAAAATCTTTTCGATTTTTTTATATAGTTATGTACGGTTTAACAACAATGTTGATATTATCTTGTTGACCTTAGTTTGGGTTCCCAAATAGAATTATGCAAAGGTCTATCCTTTGAAATTTTTTATGGTGTGAAATAATTTTTTTCTTATTTCGGCATAATTTTTACAGTGTTTTCATTGATCTATCCACAAGACATTTCTCTGCGAAACCTTGGTTCCTAAATAGAACCACTCTAGTATTTTACACAATGTAGCCATATCATCTCTTGGTGCATGCATGGTTGCTAGTGTTATGTAGATTTGCAATACGTACTTGTAAGTTCTATCTGTTGCGTACATTTTCAAAGAACGTCCACCAATCACATCCGAGGTTTGAATGGAGCGGACCAATTTTCCCTTTTAACCGTGAGGCTAATAGGAAATCGAAATACGAAGTTGTTCTTCAAAACCCTGGTTTCCACAACTTCTTAAATTTTTTTTCAGAACTTATGTAGCAATTTTTGAATTTGATAGAATATAAGATATATATACACGTGATTTGTGGAGTCCTGTAAAAAGGGTTCGTTTCAATCCTGGGATTGGTTTTAAAGAGAACTTGACAATATTATGTCCACTAATTTACCTATGTACAAAAAAGAGGACTTTTAGCATTTAATACTTACATTTCATTTTTTAAAAAGTGGCAAATTATAACTGTCAATTTTTTATTCATCAATGTTAGAAGGCTTTGGGATTAATAATCACAAGCAAAACCACATAATTTGGATGTGCAACTAAAGTATAGTTCCAGCACACCAATAAATTAAAATATTTAAATTACCAACATTATCAATATTTGTTGTCGTTTTTTTTTATCTTACATTGTAGATATAACTGAGATTACAAAAAAAAAATTGCATTCGCTTTAGTTCTGTTGCCTATTTGATCTCTTATGTGCAGATCAAGGCAATCAAACCAGTGTAAGCAAACGCAAAAAAGTGGTACAGACGTTTCAGCACTTACAAACCAAAGTATCCATCCTTAGACTCAATAGGTAAAATATGTAAATCGGAAAATGTTACTCCATGCCTATACATTCTTGAAACACAAATCATCTTTGGTTGTTAATTTATCAAATATAATCATTAATCTTTTGAAGCTTATTTTCTTTTATCTATTTCTGGATATATATTCAGATTTAAAAAAAAGAAGAAAAAATTCAGCAAATCTCGTCTTTGAATATTTGGATTAAATGACAAGAATTGTTGACATAAGAAGAGATAAAAACTTTAATAAGTAGACATATATTAGAAAAATAACTATGTTGTCTCAATAATTGCAACTCTTTGTTTCAAATATTTCTCCTTTGTAAACGAAAATTTCAAATGATTTGAGAGGGAAATTAAATCTTAATTGGATATGAAGCTTATGGTAAGAATTGAACTATTTTTATTTAGTAAAACATTTGAGGGGTTCAATAAACAGAATATTATTATTATAATGAAAATGTTTTTAATTAATTAACGCTGTGTTAATTAATATTTCTTTGGGTTTGGTGTAATGTAATTCAAGTGAAAATTACCAAAGAAAAAAAAAAGATTACCTAATTTTTCGACATTTGCGTAATTGTCTCTAACTGGACTAGAGGGATTTATTTATTATGCAATAACGGTACTTAATGAGAAAAGGCATTAAAATAATTTTAATAATAATTTTATGCCACCGTATGAAAAGATTCGGGGATTTTTTTTCATGTCTGTCTGTCCCTTTGCCTGTTCATAACCTTGATCATAACTTTTGTTAAGTTTGATTGGAGCTATGGCTTTCATACTGCTTATGTATTACTAGTGGCATAGCCTTTCTTTGGGTACCAAAGTCGAATTTTTTTGTGTTTAGAAACTAGCGCTGCAGATATCACTCAGTTTCTTCCCCTTTTTGCTTGAAGGAGAGGGGGAAAGGAGGGATTCGTGATAATTGGTTTGTGAGTCTACTCCAGACCTATTTTTATTACCACATTTATACACTTTCCTTATTCATTCAAAGCATCTATCACATTAACAAAACATTAGACAGTAAATTTAACGGTTGCCGAGCAGTAGATGGCGCACTTTCCATAGTAGATTGAGCTTTATTTATTTTACTGGTGTTAAATCTTCGTTAAAAATCTCGGATACACACATATAAAACCTGCATGCATTAAATAAACTGCTTCATGTCAAATAATTAGCAAGATGTCTGTGTTTCTTAACAACCGTCTTTGGTCGATGTTCGCAAAGTGAATCACCTTTGATGGGGGGCGACGCGTCGATTTTTTTGATGGAACAAAAAGAAGATACATTCCTTAAAGATCCCCTTTATGTCTCATTAATTGAAATTATTGCACGAGATCGGCATGTCTTCTGGCGTTTAGTACCCTCACCCCGGATATTCCCCGAGGAAAACGTTTGAAGGTTATTTTTTAGTACCTCCCCTCTACAAATCTTGCAAAACAAGATGGAATCTTTTGATGTATACTTCTAGCAGTGTAACTTCTTTTAAATCTTTTTTTATGTTTTTTCCCCATTTATCCCAAATGAAATTTCTTCTTTATAAGGATAATTCACTTGTGTGTGAAAATTATGTTTTAATCTTTTCATAAAAATCCAAATCAGAGATAATTTTATAATTAAATAATTACATATATTTTCTATTGAGTTTCGTATATTATCGCTCTAAAAGATTTTTGAAGGTGGTGCGCAAAATATATGATTTTTTCGTTTTGATTTCTGTTACGTTTCTTAATTGGCTCATAATTATAAAAAAAAAATCATATTCATGGGGATTTATTACAAGTTGTTGCAAAATGCCTTGGCTGATAAGATACAGTGCAATGTTGATGCCAATAACAGATTTGAATGAATTCAAACCATTCTGAAGTCGAAATCATGCTCGATAATAATCAACCTTCTAAACGACACATGGGTGTTGAAAAGCAAGAAAGAAAAAAAAATATCAAAATTATTGACAATCAATAAACTCTTCATGCCGTTCTTTTATCATTTGTTCTTTGTATATAGGCTATTCGACGTTCAATAAACTTTAACACTTAAATTTGTCAAAACAGAATTAAAACATCCACTCGTTCTTAAAAGTGCATCTACCTAGCGAGTGGGCCAGGTAAAAAAGATTTAATACTTTACGTATTGTGAAAAGTAAAATCGACTTGGTCTTTAATGTCTTAGATTTAGCAGGTTGGTGTCCCGATTCAAAGAAACAAATCATAGCTAGAAATCCAATACAGGAACGCTCGAACAAGTAAGAAATTCAATATTTTAAAATTGAAGGATTCGTCTAGATGAGGAATTGTATATATCGTTTAAAAATATTATTGAAACTATTTGCTCATGCATTTGAAATATTATTAGTTGTAATATTTAAACGATTTAAATAATGACTGTCAGCCATTGTAAACATCAGGGTAATCGGATATCCGCATCTTATATTTTTTCCTGATACCTAAATTACATGTTACATTGCCCTTTGTACATATATACTTTATATTTCATGCATACCATGTAATTTTCTTTAGAAATATTAAAAAATGCATTGATGTTTACAAAATGATAAATTCAAAAGTAGCGAAGTTCGTCTATTTAAAGAAAAATCCCCTGCTTCTATGTATTTTTCTTAATAGCAAGTAGCCCAATCAATGCAAATTAAAAAGCAATATTTCTCGACACCTTATTCCCGTTTTATGTTCAAGAAAGTAATAAAACATAAACGGAAACTTCTCCAGTTGAACATAAAATAATTCTAGAACGCCGAGGTAACAAAATCAGCTGTTCCTAAGAGGAGCCACAGAACAGAGAAATTTTCTCGCCATCTAGTGCTATTGATTTCGGTATAACTCAGTCACTTTGCCGTTTCTGATACGATAGCTAAGAAGGGATTTGTCTGAGAAGGTTTGTATTTGATTCCCTAGACTTCAATATTTGCTCGAACCGTAAGACAGTTGTAAAACAGCAAAGGTGTGCAAAAAAGTAAGAACGTTTTGCTGCAACTGGAATTTAAGTTTAATTGTGGGGAGATTTTTTTTAGTGTATTAAATATAAGAGTAAAATAGTTCTTTTTTTTCATACCTTGCACGGAAAATTAAGTAATTAATTGATGTTTTTTTAAGAACATGAGTAAACTTAAATAAATAAAGGAGAGACTGTATTGACTAATCAAGTCGAACATTCCTCTGAATTCCATTAATATTTAAAACAAACCTTTTTTTCATTGTGTTTTTAATATATTTTTCTCGTGTGAGCCAATATGACGCTCCTTGATATATTTTTTTTATTAATTTGTTGGCAGAGTGTATATCTATAGCTTATTTATTACATCATGTTAAAGAAAAAAAGTCCCAAATGAACCTGTCTAATCGAAATAACCCATGAATTAACTTTAAATTAATATTGCAAACAATCCCCCAAATTCGGTTCAATCAAAATCCCTAAATATCCACAGGTTGCGTAATGAGCATTATACCCTTTAATATCTTTTGTCATTCTCTCGTATACATATCACTTGTTCATAGAATAGGAAAATAAATTGGATTCACGCGGTATAAAAGGGTAGAGTAAATACTGAGCGAAATCGATTGTCCCCAAGGAAGAAAAATATCTTTATTATCCTGCCAAAAGCAGAGAAAAGAAAAATCCCAATTTAGGCAATAGTTGAACATAGTTACAAACGCGCGTGCATGTAATATTGAACCCAAAGGATTAAAATTTAGAATGCAGGTTTGCATGGCGTGGATTTCTATATGTTAAGCTGTGTTAATCTAATGACAATAAAGATTAAATGACACAGAAGGCTGATCGGCGGTAATGGTAAATAATCGCTTTGTGTTCTGTATTGCAGATCTTTTAAACTTTCTTTCTGTGGAACTCTCGGGCCAGACACAAGGGGGGAACGGAACTTTACTTTTTCAAAGGAATATGTAGACTACGGAAATTTGTGATAGAAAGAAGAACAAACAAATGGATGAGTGCGCTTGGGTCTGTCTATTTTCCCCCTCAATAAGATAAACCCAACATATTGTCGTAAGTAGTTTACAATATATATCGATTTGATTATTTTCTTAAGAATCACATACAATTTTCATTATGTTTATTTGTATAATTTAATCTGTAGAAATGTCTTTTATATGAATTATTTATAATTAAAATAACTTTTTACAGTGTAATTTAGTGATAAAAAAAATTAAAGAGATCGTTTTTGGAATATTGTTTACATATTTCATAATGTATTCATTATATTCTGTGCTGTATATTATTTTTGGAAAATGGATGCCTTGTTCTTTTCATTCAGACAATAATATGAAAGTTTAACACTTGCTGAACAAAACATTCATGAAGGATACACATTTTTAATGCAATACACGTACAAGAGTTTATATCTAGCCTGTCACTACAGACTGTTTATTCCTTAGACCGTACTGGGGTTGACAGACAATTGTCCGACAGCAGTTTCCTCGATAAACACTTCAATTGTTCGATTAAACGTTTCACGTTTCAGACATTTCAGGAGACCCATAGAACCACCGCCATTTAATATCTAATTATTTTGAGGCTAACATTAAAGATTTATCCAGACCAAAGCAAACAAAAAATATCTACAATGCTTTCAAACCGACTTGTTTTATACCTGCTATTAAATAAAATAAACATCGAGATGTGGAATGGTATTGTAATTCAACGTTTTGAAAATGGCATGCTAAAATTTGTCCATTTACCAAAATAGGCCTGGAATGCAAATATGACATCTGGAGATTGCAGAAAAGAGGCCATGTCTAATATAGAATGCATTTAATTTCATTCTTTTATTACTTTTTTTTATGAAGAATTTTTTTTAATTAAAAAGAAAACGAATTTCTTAACAATTGGTTGTGTACACTCACAAAATCTGAACAATTCTATACCATAATGTTCATTACCTGTATTCAAACATATCCCCAAAAAAATGAATTGAAAAAAATGTACAGATCTGTTTGAGTAACCTTGCTTTTAAGGAAATTATAATTATGTAAAAGAAGAATTTTTTTTCTGTAAATACATGTATACAAAACCTGAAAAATATCATTACATAATATTGTATTCCATTATCTACACGTACATTCAAAATCTTCCACATTATGAATTAAAATACGTATATAATTTAATTGTAATAATAGATTACGCTGTCAACACAAACAATGAGACAACAAAAATACAAGAAACATTTGGAAAACAACAACAACAACCTCTCTTTTTGTTTTATTTTCTTTTAAAAAACTTTCTGAGATAGATTGCAATTGGTTTCATTATGTCAATACTTTCATTGTTGAAATTTATTTTCCGTTGCTTTTAAATAAAACCCTTATTTGTCTTTTTTATTCGTAAATTGAAGAAAATGTTTATTTTTATTTTATAATTTTTTTTTATTTTTACCATGTCTGGGATGATGCAAATTTTTACATAAATTTGAATTTAAGAAATAATTCCTTTATAACAGTGACTTGAAACCACTATAATAAAATCAACATGACGTCAAATATTCATGATTAAATGAAAACGAGGCGAACTAAATACATAAAAATGACCACAAAGCGCATATTAATTTACAGACTTCTAACAAATATCGATAGAAAATGTGCGTTCGAGTACACTCTATTGGCTCTGTAAAGCACCCATAAACCACTCGAAGAAACCAGGTATAAATTACTTATTTGTCAAAGAAAGAAAGATGAAAATTAAACACAGGTGAATATGCATTTTATGACCACCTGAGCGGTTGTAGGACTTATCCTCTCTACACTGCCATGGGTCCTTGACATTCACATGGTAATCATAATTTGTCCTCAGTGCTACTCTTTGCATTGATTTGTATGGTGAACAATCGGATAAACCCCTCATGTGTCACTCGAATAATACGTTTCAAATGAACTTTGAATTTTCTTAAGACGATTAATAAGGGCATTTTATTGAAATCGTCCGGCAAGAGAATGCTTTTTTGGCAGCCAGGTTTACATTTGACCCAATTTGAAAACGTCTGATTTAATCGTGGACCAGATTAAATGTTATAAAACTGCATTTCTTGAAACTGGAACATAATATAAGTAAGCTTCAATAGATAGACTGAATTCTCTTTTCTTATACAATGAAAATTGCAAGCAGTAATGAATTTATTGCAATATAAATAGTCTTAGTTCATCGAAGAATACAAATAACAAATTAAAATTTCAACTTATCTTCTGTTTCACACCTTAGTTTCCAGAGCAGAACTTCTGAAAAAATGACCTTGTTAAAAGATGCAATATTTTCAACATTTTATATTAATTTTTACAATTAAAACAAAATAAAATCAAAGAAACCTTATATTCCTGAAATTTCTGTTGTCATTAATAAAAATCTTCATATATGGCTTTGTTCCTTCCTTTCTTCATCTTCAAGTCCTACGTATTTAACGTTACATCTCCACATTTTGTTCCTTGTTATGTTGAGACTCAGTTACAATAATTTAATTCAGATGACAGAGCCTGTAGAAAAAGATCCTGTAAAGGAAACAGATGAGGAAGATGAAAGACGAGGCAGTAACGTCTCCATGGATTCCTCCTCTTCCAGCAGTAAATTACGACCCTCCCTCAGGGGTAGTGCCAAATTCAAACGGGTCTCCTCTGCTGCTAACAGCAGTAGTTCTATGGAGGACAAAATGCTGGCATTGAATGCCTTGCTGTCAGACAGTTTACTTATTACTGAGTTTCGAAATGGTGAAGGCAGCAGACACAGCAAATCGGACGCAGACGATGACGATACGTTGAAAGATGAGTTTGGAGATGACGTCAGTGATGACGACTTTGATGAACTTCCGGAAGATGGGCGAGTCTCCAAAGATGACTATGACACAGATCTGGATATGGACTATGATGGTACCTTTGTATTTTGCCATCTGTTTGTTTATAGGTGTACGAGTGAAGATTCTAAATTATTACTAAAGACTTACGCAGTATTTTAAAAAAAAAATTGAAGGAAAAGTATTGTGTACTGAGTTAGATAATTCACAATCGTTGATAAGAAAATTAAATTTAAAGATGAAATAGTATGACAAAAATGTGCAATTCTTATTTGCAGAATGGATTAATGAGGAAAAAAGAGAAATCGAGAATGACAAAACAGGAGAAAAGAAATACCTTCACATTTGTGAGGAGACAGGAGTCATTCCTGCGTCTTATTTCCTCAATAATATTCAGGAGAAGGAATTTACCATGAAGTATCACGGACTGGGTCCCAATGGTGCTAAGGCCATAGCCTGGCCTCTAAAGGTTTAATTTACATCTTCATTACCTGTATGATTCAATGCTTTCAAAAATAGAAATAGATTGATTGTATGTTCGTTTTCTGTCTGATTTGAAAATTTTTCACTGGTACAGAGACGTGTGTCTGAAATATTTACCTCAAGATATAATTTCTAATAAAAACCCTTATAGAATTTTTTCGTTACAATTAGGAAGACTTAATATTTTTGCAAAGGTAAAATTTATCTATATTTGTTTTTCAGACAAATAAAAAGATAGAGAAAATTAACCTTGAAGGCAATTGGATTGAAGCTGAGGGATCCATATACCTGGCAAAAATGTTGAAAAACAATATTTATGTAACAGAATTGGTAAGGTTGTCGAAGATCATCTTAATGCATACTTTGAATCTATTTGATAATTCATTTGTTTTGTTTTTTTTGACTGAAAAATTCACATATTCTTGTAGCACTTAGCTGAGAATAGAATAGGCAATGAGGGAGCAGAGGCAATAAGTGATATGCTGCATAAAAACGACATGATATATTCCCTTGATCTCTCGGGGAATAATATCGAGGACTATGGTGCTGAAAAAATATGTAGAATGCTATTGGTAAGTATGCATCATACTTATATGTGGAATTTGAGCATTTTTTTTTGCAAAGTCGTTTGGTTTTGTATTCAAAGTATGTTACTTCTATATCATTATTATTGTTAGAAAAATTCCTCGATCAAACACTTGTACCTTGCCAATAATAACTTTGAGGAAAGGGCAGCAGGTTGGCTTCGAGAGGTGCTGATCACCAATGAAACATTGGAAACTGTAGATCTCAGCTGGAATCACATTAGAACCCGAGGGGCCATCGCTATAGCTGAGGGGGTGCAGGTAATTTTTTATACCCCCAAGACCTTTGAAAGTTTTCTGATATTTGGTCAAGTTAAACCGATTATTATAAGTCATGCAAAACGCAAAAGTTTTTAATAGTACTCTGTTCTTTCATAAAATTTTATCTTACAAAGTATACAAAGTGTTAATTTTAAGAATCTATACATGTACATGTAAGTCATATATTTTTAAAACTTAAAATTTGCAGGAAAACTATGGTCTAAGGGTACTGAATCTAGCTATGAATGGCTTTGCACAAGACGGAAGTGAGGCAATGGGTAAAGCGTTGAAAAATAACCGGACTTTACTGGAGCTGGATCTCAGTCATAACCGGATCCCGGAGGCCGGGGCTGCCGCCATCAGTCAGGGTTTACAACATAACGACACCCTCAAGGTTCTCAGGGTAAGGGAGTCCCAAAAATGCGAAGTTTTCCAGGCCTTTAGCGATTTCGATTCCTGACACGTAGAATATCAAAATCGTAAAAAGCCTGGAAAACGTCATAATTTTTTTTGGAGTAAAGGTGAGGGAGACAATGAGCCGAAGAAAACATCATTTGTTTTATTTTGGAATTTACTTTCCAAGGAAAAGCGTACTTGTATAAAAAAAATTGAAGTTGTCGATAAGTTTATGTGATTTTATTCTTTGATGAAATCAATATGTAAATTTTTAACAATAAACTTATCTTTTTTTGACAGATGGCTTCCAATCCTTTGGGAGGTGATGGCCCTCTTCAACTTCTGAATGTCATTTCTAACAATGATATGAGTGAGATCCGTGTTTTAGATCTAACCGTAAGCCTTTTCACTGTTATATGTTAATGCTTCTTACCTTAATAATATAAGTGGACATTATTTGTTGGATTTGGTATCATTGTTGATAAATAATGCAAGTCCGATAAAGCACGCTATTAAAAAATTTAGATTTTGGACATTTGATTAAAGTATGCCCATGTTTTTTTTTTAAACCAAAAAATTTTTCATGAAAAACTGCTGCGAAATCATGTAATAAAAATATAAATAAAAAGTGAAAATCGCATTGAATAATTCAATGATTCTTATATTCAGGATGTCCTGGTTACACCAGCTTTTAAGGAGTTACAACAAACTTTAGAAAAAGAACGAATCCTGACTGTTTATTATGGTAACATTGTGGGTGAAGTGTTCGACTTCAGCTCAATTCGATATGATCCATTCTGCGAATTCCGTCGCGATCCCATGTCGTTACTCATTGAATACTGCAAAGATGCTGGATACAGACTACTGGACCTTTTCAATGATTTCGATAGGGATGGGAACCACTTAATCTCTAAAGAAGAATTTATCATGGGGATCAAAGTACGTAACCTTTAACCTTTGACCTTACTTGTAAATATTTTTTAAAAAAAAAATAGTTCTTTGGAATATAATATTATTATGAAAATGCAAATTTTAGAAAGCTGGAGTTAAGATCAGTATTCGACAACTAGAAATCTTAATGGAGGGATTGGATATAAACAAAGATGGATCCATCGAGTACAGGTATGTATCTAATCAGACATGAATTTAAATAAACATACACGTGTCGGCATTTATAAAATTACTATTTCTAAATTGCAACAATTTTATCACAGTAATATTATATCTGAGGAGTGAAATCTAACAAAGTGTGTGAACAATTTTGTCATCACATTCTGTTAAAATGGCGTTCGATGTAATAAGCTTCAAAATGAAACTCGTTATGTCAATGTATATTATACTGTGTACTTCCTCAATCAATGTTAAGTTATCAATTTGTAGTTACTTTAATGTTTATGTGCTTTTTCTCTAGTACTATATTAAATTTTGAAGAAGGAAAATGAGTAAGTTTATTGCGTAGCACTGCAGGCAAAAATTTAGCAATCTGCTAGAGAGCACCGGAAATAGATAATTAGCTGCGCACACACTACATAAATTTTCATTTCTGCGCATTTCACGGCGAGCAGCACAACAAAGCTTTTGTTTAGATGTTTTAATCTCGACATACATCGATAAACTTAACAGAGTCATTCATGTAGCTTTTCTCTATAAATAGATGCATGGCAGTTGCAAGTGCATCTATAGACTTCTTTCTACTTACAATTATGTATTTTTGTTAGCAAATGCAATTTTATATGTGTTTATTTTCTCTGCATGAAATCTAGTGAGCTTGCAAGAGCAAAAGGTAATGTTTGATTCCAAAATTTGCTTTCCGTTTATATTCCTTGCGGTTGGGTTGCTTTTGAAGTAGCTTACATGCATGTAAATAATTTTGCTTCAAGTTGACTCATACATTTGCTTTGAAACGAATTCTTCGTTAAGAAAATAAAACCCTTTCATTAATATTTTATACTATTTCTTATCATAGATTTAATGCCTAATTTCTACGCATTACATAATTAGAGATATATGGTTCTTGATTTAGTATATTACATGTAGTTACATTTATTTTAAAGTGCATGTTTCTAGAAGTCTTTGTTTAATACTAATACAAGGATCTAACCCTTTGTTTTTTTTAGATATGTATGCAAACTAACTTTTTTTCCTTAGAACTATTGTTTTTAACACGTGTTGTTGTTTTTGTTCAATTATCTTTAACTTTATTTCGAGGACCGATTCATTTATGAAATGTGTATTATGTTTTCATGCTGAAGCAGTATGTGTTGCAAGGAAAAACTTTCATGAATCCTGAATTTTTTGTTCCCTTAGCAGTTTTGTTTTTCGTGATGAAGGGATCAGAATTGATGGGAAAAAATGATTTAAAGTCTTCTGGGTTGAAGAAAAAAATAAGTAGTGTATTTTCTTGCAAATGATTTCAAGACAGTTTTGAGAAGTTTCGTCAGTAACCCTTTAATCTGTTTTGTCACTTAACATGTATTTTTACGAAAGTCAAACTGTAACATCAACTTGTTTTGTAGTGAACTGGTCATCGGAGAAAAGGAGTACACAAAAAAGAAAATAAAGCTGGCTGCAGAAGCAAAGAAATTAGGAAGAAATGTATCTGGCACACAACTTATTGACGAGGACTATCTAAAGAGAATGATTGACGAAAATTATGCATGATTAGACATAGAATTATCTTCTTCTGGGAAGAACATTAAAGAAAAAAAATAATCATATTTCAAATATATTATATTTTGTTGAACTTGACAAACATGACTCAGTGAATGTCACATAAATAAATATTGTTGCACCTCTTAGCCACCACCTTTGAGTATTTTGGTCGTGATGCACAGTTTAAATTTGATGCTCACAAATATCCAATGTGTTCAAGACCTGATCTTACTTTTTCCATGCAAGTATCAGCTATAATGGTCGGATTTAAGATTGAACCACCATCGCTAAAATAGAAATATTAGCAATTTACCCAGAAGTATGATTTTTAAGTCCCCTTAGTTTCTCTTTTTAAAATGGCCCAGTAGAATTAGATTTCTGTGTCTACACATCTGTGTTGAATAAAACAAAGTCACAGCAGAGTGAAGCATCCCTTTGCAAAGCTCATATCTTAAAGTTAAGGCAGCATTCGACATTCTCGATGCAATTTAAGCCATCTACGTTTCGGAAAGGACATAATTATCATAAGGACAAACCAACAAACACCCATACCCCCCCCCCCCCTCACACACCCTAACAAACATACTGAACCTCGTTACTCTATCCCTCCTACTTTGTTGGGAGGAGATAACAAAATTTCAAGATGAGAATATGAGTCAAAATGCTTATTCTTATATGGTACCTGATCTCACCCTGACGTATTTTGAAGTCCATGTGTGCTCCCTATTCGTGAGGTCCCAATAAAAATTTTTTAAGGTTGATTACTTCAAATTTCATTGAAGCGCTTTTTGAAAGAATAAGGAAGAGGTAGAGAAAGTCAGCATCCATGAGTAAATGAAATATATATTATTTACATAGATAAGGAGAAAAAAGGTCAAAGGTCCAGTAAAGCAATACAAATTGCAAGCAGAAATAAAACGAACATCTTAAAACATCAGTTATAAGTACGATCAGGTGCCATAGAGGAGTAAGTATCACTTATCTACCGGTCATAACTTGTCATGGGGTAACAGAACGCTCTATAGACAATTCATTGTAAGAATCATGACCTAACAATTATATGAATTAAATTAATATAAGAATATTTTTAATAACGTGAATATATGTATCGCTAATAGTGAAGAGGACTATAGAAAGTTAAGATTCCTTAGAGTCTGATAAACAATGGAAGTTTCTTAAACATTTCGCTTAAACCCTCCCGATCTTTCAATGTAAAAGTGAAGATAACGAAAAATGACCGAAATAATAAATATAGACAACAAAATATGTGAAAGAATCATAAAAAACGGACCTTTGGAAATTCCAGTGTGACCGGGTACTTAGGAGGAGTAAGCATTCCAGTCAAAACCGCCGACAGTTCTCTGCTTTGATCAGGTAGAGGAAACATTCCATAGTCAAATTAAAAACAAAACAACAACAAAACCACCGAAGCCTAACAATATTGGTAAGAAACAGTTCAACCAAAATTCGACTCATAAGTTACATTTGCTGATAAGGTCATATTTTTTTTGATAACGAAATTGCGTCATAGTTTCATAAGTAGGATTCTGAGAAATATGATGCCAGGCGTTTGGCCACAGACTTGAAACCTTAAGGATTAAAAGAATCAGATGGATGTTAAAACTTTGCCTTAAGCGATTGGGGGATAAAGTGAACGACATCCACCCCTTGCAAAGGATTTCAATAACTCAGAAGTGAAAAAAAACAAGACAAGTAAATTGATAACACTATTAGTACATTCTGGTCCCATTTAATATGCATGATATTTCAAATAAAAAGATCTTACCTTTTTGTTTCTAAAAAGAGCCATTAACCACTTCCTGATACCAACATTTAGAGTTATCATTCTTAGTTCAGCTTAGTGCTAATATGTAGAACATGATTCATTAATATGTTATAAAACAAGTATTTATGATATGTATTTTTATATTGATACACCACAGGTCATAATTACAGGTAATAAGCCTAAAACAGACTATACTCAGGTGACTACTCAGGTGTGAAAATCCCAATTTTGGCTATATGGGAATAAGAAATTCAGAATTTTGGCCAAGTGGGAATAAACCACAATTAGAAGTATAAATTGGGTGCGTGACGTAAAACTTGATTTATTTAGGTAGGGTCTGGGAGAATTTTGGTTGAATCAACAAGTATCAAACCTTGCTCATTTCGTGCATATATATAAAAACAGAATCCTAGATATACACCTCCAAGATCGGATAGGTCAAAGTTATCTTAACTATTCAGAAAAAAACATCAAAAGTGAGAGTATGTGTTGTAAAGAGCCATAGCGCATTTGATAGTCACTTTCGCAATCTAATTAAAATTGGATCTTTGATCCGCTCCAGTTTGATTGCTAAACTTTGTGTAGGGATCAAACTGGAACGGATCAAAGATCTAATTTTACTTAGATTAGTCACTTTCGCCTACTCTAGTAGTGATTTTTTAAATACATTGTTTAACCAAACTTTTGTCATTCCAAGTTAGTTTATATAGTCTGGTCCTGATTTTTAAAAAGAAGGCTAGAAATAACTTCTAACGGCAAATAAATATTATTTGGTCCAGCATAGTTTTTTAAAATCTATTTCGAGTATGCTGCATCCGAAAAAATATGCTGGCCTTCATGAAAATGACGTTAAAGGGGTCGAAATGGCGATTCAAAATGGCGGACATCCAATTTTTCTAATTTTCTCTTAATGTCGTTCAAAATGGAGAAGTAATGAGTGAATATCTAACTGAGTGTAATAAAACTATAAAAAAAAATATAATAGGGTGCCAAGATTTTTAGATTAACTCAGAAAATTTAGTCGTTTCTACACTTAATTCGAATTTTCTCTGATTTTTAGACGGAGGCTGTATGACAGCCTCCGGGTATAGGGATTGTCTTGCCCATGGAATGTAAACAGGAAAGATTTCCCAAGCACCATCTATCGGTGGAATTGTTTTCATTACCTTGAGAATTCTATTTTTAGAGCGACTCTGAGTAACACCGACCGCAAGGATAGGCATAGTCTAAAACAAAGATCGCGTCACATACAAGTATAAACAAACAGTTCTACTTTTTCTAAATAAACAGGATTTGTCTAATATTTTTAAAATGACGTGTACATATAAATACATTTCCTACGGAATATGTAAAAAAGAATGTAATTTACTGTTAATTTTTTATCAGACAGAATATTAGGAGATTTTGTTCCAACAGACGATGATAAAGCGTGTTTTACAATATGCCGAGCCTTTTCCCACCGATTCTCACACCAAAACAAGAACGAGAAGAAATGAAGTGGCGGATCTAGAGGGAGTTGGGGGGGGGGGGGTTAACATCCGCGGAGAGTGATCGAGGAACCCCACTTATCAATTGCTTCTTTTATTAAAGTAAAAACTATCTCTAGTTATAGATAAGTTTAAACTTTAGTTTTATATTTAATTGTAAAAACTTCCACCAGAATTCGCCTGTATCAAACTAAGTGTGGAGACGCAGATGTACCTGTATTATGTATTGAAGAAAATCCTGCAATGCTGCATGCAAATGTTTTATGTCGCAGGTATAAATATAAGATATTTTAATAATAGATCAAGCATTTCAGTTTTAATGGAATTTTTTGTGCTTGATTGCTGTTTGTAATCTCATTTTCACTCCTTTTCTAATTTCTTCTTGAAAGGGCCGATAAATTGGTTTGCGGCCGATTTTTGACGCTTGCATCAATAGGTTTCATGGAGTTTTTTAGTCTGACAAGGATCGATGAATAAACAAATGCATAGTATTTTTATCTGTAGGAATATTAACAGTCTAGTTTTGAATTCTTTATTTGTAATTATGTATAATTTTAGGAAACACATGAAAATAGATTTACACTTTCTACAAGCGGTTTGAGTGTTTGGGGTACCCTCACATTAGATAAGAGAGAAACAAACGGCAACTCTGATATTGAGATCAAAATGCATTTGTAACTTTTGACCCTTGGGTACAACCCAAATCTTGGTTCATAGGATTTACATGATTTATCACATTATATCCTAATTAATAATTAAAAATTATATCTTCTGAAATAATTAAGTTGTCTTATTGTCATATCGTTGATCCTTATTTGATACTTGTGTTTTACCTCTTTCACATCTCAACCTTTAATTATTTTTTATATACAAGATTACATGTATTTCTGATCATTGGTATTCATGTCAACTTTTTTTAACCTACATCATTGGAGAAGTGATTGTTTGAACAGAGTTACTGAAAAGCAGAAATCATAGTTATATATTTATTACTTTTCTCTACGTAATTTGTAATCATGTCTCATTGTTAATGATTGTTTTAAACAGATAAACTGAAAAGGACAACCATTTCCACTGGTATACGAGTAAAGAAAGACATTTTTTGGGTTAAATCTGTCATATGATAAAATACTACATTTAATAATTCCAGAAATATTGGTTGTCAAATTTGTCAAGATATATCTTTGTTATTGTAAGCAATACCCCAGTTCTCCAAAAACAATTTAAACTTGTGAAATAGCAAGTATTATGAACTTTATTGTTCTGTTTACTTTAAGTAAGAAAGTATATTTTATTCCACTCAAAAAATTGTGTTCTGGCACGAACATTTATTGCATGTTAATGACTTTATATTACTTAAAGAAAAATCTGTGTTGCATCAAGCTAGGTCACTCCATTTTGTATCACAAAGGTTTAAGACAAACTGTACTATATTATGTTGTTCATGTCCAATTACCTGGCTGCTTCTTTTTCCATGTTAGCTCATATCATAACATTATTACAATAAGGCCGAGAAATTTTGATTTTGGTAGCTGTTACATGTCATAATTATGTTAACAGTAGGTTTCTGTGACCTATAAATAAGATATCTTGAAATATGGAAACTCCTGACTGGCTGAGGCCTAGTGCTGAATCCAGAAATTCTGAAAAGGGGGGACCAGTTGAGGTCAGGGAAGGGGCCCACAGCCACAATTAAAACACTCATTTATCAAATATTGCGTATTTTTTGGACTCAAAAGGGAGGGGGCCAGGGGCCCCTTTTAATTCCGCCAGTGGGCTCATGACTAGAACATACTAGACCTACATTCATCAAACCGGGCCTGGGGGCATACAACTTATATTAGACAAGCTCACTTTTGATCTCAGTCTCACT